CCCCCCCCCCCCCCCCCCCCCCTTTTTTTTTAATAATTTTTAATTTTGTTAATTTTTCTGCGGGGGTTGGGGGAATGTGCAGGTTATTAAGGGGTTTGAACCAAAAGATCGTTGTTTGCTTCTTAAATTTGTCACTAGTTGTTCTCGAGCTCCATTACTTGGATTCAAGTACCTGCAACCAGCTTTTACCATTCATAAGGTGTGCATTCAATCTTAAGTTTCCAGATACATTTCTTTTGTTCGTAATTTAGAGGCCTTTCATTCACCAGTTTAAATCCCAGAGTCAGGGGTCTTCTGATCAATAAATTAACTGCCAACAACAGTTCAAAATATCTGTATGCACCTTGTTTAACTTTAAATGAGCTGCTTGGAGTGCATTGAAAATGTTATTCATTGTAAAGTCTGATATGGAAATTAATCTCATGTAGGTCTCATGTGACGTTCCGATATGGGCTTCACTTGGAGGACAGGATGTCGAGCGCCTTCCGACAGCTTCCACTTGCTATAATACTCTCAAGGTACAAAAAATGAAGCAAGTATCAGTTTTATTAAAAAAAAAAAAGAGACCCCATTATTGACAAGACAACCATTAGTAATGCAAATGTAGATTAGTCATTGATGATGTTCTAAATTCCTCTGTTTTTCAACTGCTAATTATCTGTGCCTTTTGTTTCTATATTTTTTGCATGTAGCTCCCTACATATAAACGTTCGAGCACCTTGAGATCAAAACTTCTCTATGCGATCAATTCCAACTCAGGATTTGAACTTTCTTGAATTATCTAAACTCAGGTACGAAGTTCCATTCTTTCCTAACTGGGATTTGAGCCTTCTTTGTGCTTTGAGCTGCTCAGTAAATCATGAACAAATTGAAAATTTAGATTTTCAGTACTGTGTTATAGGGAAAAAAGTTTTGGTACTTCCATACTACTACCATTCAGAAACATTTAATTATGACACGTTCAAGTGCGATATGACTAGTGAGAATAGCTATTATGGGAGTAGAATTTTTTCCGGACGGATATGAATGTTCAATATATATCAATATCCTCCCACCAATTTTGGTCCTTTCAAAGAATCTGAGATTTGGAACTTAAATCATCAATTAGCTTATTTAGCCTTCCTTACCTCACTCTTCGCAGGCTGGCAGCTGGTTGGTCCAAAGCTGCATCTAATTATTAGTCGGTGCATAAAACGTGGGTAATAATTGTTCTTATTTGCAGGTCTGTGGCACATCAAAGGCCGCTGGTTCGTTCTTTGATCTCATCCATCTCAGGCCACGCCACAGTCTCACCCTGCTGGAAGGAAACGTTTGATAGAATAAGATATTAATTTCTATGGAACTGTTAATTCCTAAATGATTGACTTATGGTCTGGTTTGGTGTTGTTTTTGTTTTTCTAAAGTATTGAAGATCAGCCTCCATTTTGAGCTATTCTTGACAGCTTTTGTAGAAACAACGTATGAGATTAGATTTATCCATGACAAACTTCAGGTGATGTTTGTTTATTACAATCTACAATCCTCTAAGCTCTGCAGCCTCCTCTCTCTCACTCTCTCTCTCTCTCTCTCTCTCCATTTTGCTTCTTTTACATATTTTTTTTTAGTTCAACATAGAAAGGTGAGGGTTCGAACTTCTACGTCGAAGACATGTCTCAATGCTCAAGTTGAATGATTTTTACGCATTATAAATACATAACTCGTTTCTCAAAGTGTTTCTATTCTTAGCTCTCATTTTGTGTTGTAATACCTTATAAGTTTTTTTTATCTGTTTCTCTTGGGGAGAGATATGAGTTTTGAACTTTCGACTTTACAGGATTGAATGGTTTAATCATTTAAATAATTGTTATATTTAGTGCAGCGCACATTTCTTAATATACTAGAAGGTAGAATACTTTATTTGGTACTAACAAAAGCACATGTTATTATACAAGGAAACGTGGGAGAAATGGACCTAATAATTTTTACACATAAACTTCGTTTGCAATAATATATAATAGAAATACCATTGTTTGAAGAGTTACTTAGAAGCATTAAAACCACAAATGAATCAAAAACCTTTACTCAATTCCACCTCTGTTAAAAGATTATCCTAAGTTTTAATTATAAGAATAGAATAACACCAAATTTGTTTCGTTCACTAAAACCTACGTCGATTGATTGAACTCAAAGTAATTCCCAGAGCCTTAGAGTAAAGCTTAGAAGTCATGGAGTCGTAAAAAAGCAAAGGATTACCACTTTTAACAGATTGGTAAAGAATCTTCAACACCATTTTGATCAAAGAAACCTCTAAGTAGCCTCAACTCTTCATCCATTTTCAAACCTCATATCGAGCCGAGACGAGCAACGATGTCAGAAATTTGAGTCTCTCCAACCTACAATTGAGACAAGACATCGAACTGAATCGAACCAAATTTCTAATGGCAAACACAACTTCAAAACTCGAGAATTCCGAGCAGACACTCTTGAAAATTGGCATTCCTCTAGCTCTATCAGCAGCTGGTGGAGTATGTTGTGGCATAATGATGGCAAGAAGTTCATTTCCCTCCTTAAATCCATTCAAACGCATATCACAACTCGTTAAAAATGAGAGCTTTGACAGCCAAAATCACTCAGCTCCACTTCCTTTGAAGCAAAAAGAAACTTCACCCAATATTGAGGAAGTTCTTTTAGGCTTAAAAAACAGAGTTGAAGATCTTGAAAGAAAGGAATTGGGTATTGAAAAGCAGTTCATTTGGTACCAAAATTTGAAAGAGAAGGAAGCTTTGCTGATGGAGTTGAAGAACACCTTGGTTTTGGACATGGCTCATATCAGGTTCTTGGAGAAGGAGATTTTGCTAATGGAAGAAGAAAACAAAAGGTTTGAGAGTTTGGTGACTGAATATTTGGGAGTTTCAGAGCAGTTTGAAGGCCAAAAACCAGAAAACAGGTTACTTGAGAGAGAAGTAAAGAAACTGAAGAAGAGATTGAAGGACCAATCAAAGATGATAAGAGAGAAGAATTTGAAGATTGAAGAGAGTAGAACAGAGTTTTGGAGAAACAATGAAGAAATGGAAAGGAAGAAGAGGATGATTGAGAAATTGAGGAATGAACTAAGAGAGCTCAAAATGCAAATGGAGAACAATGCTTCATCTTCATCACCATTTAAGGTCATCTTCTTCTTATTTTATGTTTATTAATGCGTTAATCGTGTTTAAGTTTTATTAGATATTGATTACGATTGAACTATGCTCATTTTGTCAGTCTAAACGATCTTATTTTGACATAGATAATAGTTCGTTGATATTTTCGACCCGTTAATTGGGTATTTGGCTAAATCGAATGCTCTCTTGTTTGGCAGATTGAAGAAGAAAAAGAAGTGACAATGAAGGATGTTAGCAAGCTTTCAATTGGAAACCATGAACAAGAACAGAAAGAAAACCACAAGGATTTGGATCAAAAGGAATCCTCTCCTGATAAAACTACAAGACCAAAGCTCACGGAGGATGTCAACAAGCTTTCGATTGGAAACCATGAACAAGAACAAGAAGAACAGAAAGAAAATCACAAGGATTTGGCTCAAAAGGAATCTTCTCCTGATAAAACTAAATATACAAGGCCAAGGCTTCTTCGAAGGATAAGCGATTCTGGGAGTAGTGAAATGAATACAAAGATGAAGAAAAAAATTAGACCACAATAACCTCTAAATTAGCTCTTGTTCATATGATTTGTAATTTTGTGTGGAGTATTTTTCTAAAAAAAAAAAATGTTTTTTTTTCTTCCAATAAAATATAATAAAAAAAAAGTGAGATTTATAACGGCTAATGGGTTCCAGTTATTGGAAAGGGTTCTATGGTCGGTCCGCGACCTTGGATACCGAAGACGTCCTTGGAGTGATTTATAACGGCTAATGGGTTCCAGTTATTGGATAGGGTTCTATGGTCGGTCCGCGACCTTGGATACCGAAGACGTCCTTGGAGTGATTTATAACGGCTAATGGGTTCCAGTTATTGGATAGGGTTCTATGGTCGGTCCGCGACCTTGGATACCGAAGACGTCCTTGGAGTGATTTATAACGGCTAATGGGTTCCAGTTATTGGATAGGGTTCTATGGTCGGTCCGCGACCTTGGATACCGAAGACGCGGCTAATGGGTTCCAGTTATTGGATAGGGTTCTATGGTCGGTCCGCGACCTTGGATACCGAAGACGTCCTTAATGGGTTCCAGTTATTGGATAGGGTTCTATGGTCGGTCCGCGACCTTGGATACCGAAGACGTCCTTAGAGTGATCTCGTAGTTCCAATGGGGGTGGAGACGATGGGGTCGGTCCATAGATCTTCCTTCTTTTGGCCGCATTTCGATGAATCTTTCTACCCACCGCTATTAAATTATTGAACTCAATATTTTTTATAATTTAGAGAAATAAATCCATAAGATAAAAGAAAAACAAATTTTGGATTGTGGGTAATGTCAAATGTGGCAGAGTATGATCTGGGCCACCTGAAATTGTGGATAAGATTGTAGAGATATCTTCCTCTTTCTCTCAACAGAGAGCTTCGGAAGAACTTTTATGAACTAATATCCATGAATCCCATTTCATAACTCTCATTAATAGATACAATGGAGCTCTTCCTTCTTCCATCATACAAACAGAATCCCACCATTTTCTACAAACCCCTTACCCCTTTTCCCATTATCGGTCTCTTTTTCCCTCTCTTTCTCTGTTTCTTGTGTTTTCTTTTCATGGGTTTCTTTCAGAATGTGTTAATATCTTTGAATCTGCAGGGAAGAGACGGCCATCTCTTTTCCCTTGTCGATGCTCATTATCGTCCCCTCATGGCGGACCTTCAGAACAAGCCAAAGAATCGCTGCGGTGTGAGGGAAGAAGGGCATTGATTGGTGCTTTCCTGTCGACGGGTATCTCTATAATTTTGAAGATTATTGTTTGATATTGTTGAATGCACGAAATGTTCTTGTTGCTGCTGCCTTTTGTGATGTTATTGAGCTTTGTTGTTGTAAAATGAAGCCAAATGTAGCCTTTACATGTCACTTTGAAGTTGGTGTGTTAGATAGTTGGTTTTGATTGGGGGATGGCTAGGAATGAGATGCCTCAACGTCATCCACATGGCCTTCGAGGCCTGTGGCTGGCTAACAATAGACTATTGGTGCCCCGAACATATCCTACAACTTCTTAAGCTCGAAAAGAGCAACTCTTCTCAAAATCTCGTAAGGAAAGTGTTGTATCGATACATTCTTTGAGTTTACTAGGAGATATTTTGCATCGTTACCATTATGGTATTCATTAGTGTTTAAGTTAACTTGTGTGCATCTTAACTATTTTCATGGGACAACTGTCTATTGTAGTACGTTGTCAGGAGAACTAGTATGATACTACATCTTGTAGCCACAATGATATGCTCATTCCCCGTAAGTTTTTCAAGTTTTTTTATTATATTCTTTGGCCCTTGTTGACCATTATGTCTAACTCAGGGTGATTGATTTGCTTTGTATAATAGCTCAAGCCCACCGCTAGCAAATATTGTCTGATTTGGCCCATTACGTATCACCGTTAGCCTCATGGTTTTAAAACACGTCTGTTAGGGAGAGGTTTCTACACCCTTATAAGAAATGATTTATTCCCTCTCCAACCAATGTGGGATCTTACAATCCACCCCCTTTGGGGCCCAGCGTCTTTGCTGGCACACCGCCCAGTGTCTGGCTCTGATACCATCTGTAACATCCCAAGCCCACCGCTAGTAGATATTGTCTGCTTTGGCCCGTTACATATCGTCGTTAGCCTCACGGTTTTAAAACGTGCCTATTAGGGAGAGGTATCCACACCCTTATAAGAAATAATTTATTCCCTCTCCAACAGATGTGGGATCTTACAATCCACACCCCTTGGGGGCCCAGCGTCCTCGCTAGCACACCGCTCAATGTCTGGCTCTGATACCATCTATAACATCTCAAGCCCACCGCTAACAGATATTGTCCGCTTTGGCCCGTTACATATCGCCGTCAGCCTCACGGTTTTAAAACATGTCTGTTAGAGAGAGGTATCCACACCCTTATAAGAAATAATTTATTCCCTCTCCAACCGATGTGGGATCTTACAATCCACTCCCCCTTGGGGGTCCAACGTCCTCGCTAGCACACCACCCAATGTCTGGCTCTGATACCATCTGTAACAGCCCAAGCCCACCGTTAGCAGATATTGTCCGCTTTGGCCCGTTACATATCGTCATCAGCCTCACGGTTTTAAAACATGTCTGTTAGGGCGAAGTATCCACACCCTTATAAGAAATAATTTATTCCCTCTCCAACCGATGTGACATCTTACAATCCACCCCCCTTGGGGGCCCAGCGTCCTCGCTAGCACACTGCCCAGTGTCTGGCTCTGATACCATTTGTAACAGCCCAAGCCCACCGCTAGTAGATATTGTCCGCTTTCACCCGTTACATATCACCGTCAGCCTCACGATTTTAAAACGCATCTGTTAGGAAGAGGTTTCCACACCCTTATAAGAAATGTTTCGTTCCCCTCTCCAGTGGATCTCTCATTTTGTGTCTTACTATTTGATTCAAACTCGGTATAAAAGAGTCAAGACATTTTGAATGATATGCTTCATCAATCATGAAAACTGCCATGGTAAAGTAGAATCTACTCTTACATTGCACTAAAGATGATTGGTTGATTTGCATATGGTTCGTTGGGGCTCCTTGTTGTTGAATTGGCACTTATTATCATCCATTCATTTCCTCGCCAGCTGATAAGCTCAACACACATTTTCAGATTCTTGCATCATTCATGTGTAAATTCCTAATGTTTTTCTTTGAGAATTCAACTTTTGTTTCAGCTGCGGGTTTATATTTCTGCAGTGTAGCCCATGCTGTTAGCACAAGTCGAAGGGCTGTAAGTTCTTTTCCACCCCTGTTGATTCACAACGAATATAACAAATGTAGAAGTGTATGAAAAGCTTCTATTTTTTCAGCTAAGAGGGGCAAAAGTACCTGAAAGTGAGTTTACAACTCTCCCAAATGGTCTGAAGTAAGTTCCATTACTATTTTTAGAACATGTTCTTTTTTAATACTGTTCTTCTCTTCCTCTTCTCTTTTAGTAGTTCTTTATTGTCTCTTATCTCTTGGCATAACATTTTCAGTTGGAGATTATCATTCTCATTAAATGTTCTTATCACGACCCTGTTAATTCCAAGCTGGGGTTGGTAGTGGTCTTGTTTTTCTGCAACATATGCTGAAACTCAGAAAAGAAATGTATCCTTCAGGTACTATGATTTGAAGGTTGGAGGAGGAACTAAGGCTGTGATTGGATCGCGCGTTGCAGTACGGTTGTGAGCTGGCTGTATTTTTATATTCAACTAACAAAGATTTTATACCCTTTTGCCCACAAGAAACAGAATGGCTAATACATCGACAAGTATTAATCTAAAAAAATAGATAGCTTCCAAAAACTTTGGACAAAGCACTCCAAGCTTCATGAACCTTGATATGATCAAATCTTTCCTCCAAAGGGTACTTTTGTTCTTGAAATCCTGTTTCTTTCAAACCAAATTCCACAAATCAAATACTTAACCACTGTTGATTCAACTCTTGTTTTCCTTTACAACTATGGCCACAAAACGGAATGAAAAAGTTGTTCTCTGCCCTGAAATTCTCGAGAAAAGTCTACGGGAATAAGTATGAATGATATTCAACAATTTGTATTATATCTCAAACTTGCATACTTTAAAGTGTCCTATTTGATCCGAATTTTAGTGTGTGTTCTAAGTAGATCAACCAATGTCCAATTTTGTGGGGCGGGGTCGAGGGAGGGACTCTTGAAAACCAACTTAATTCAATGCATAACTAAAACTATAGTGCCATTTTGTAGGTTCACTATGTGGCTAAATGGAGAGGGATCACATTTATGACCAGTAGACAAGGGCTTGGTGTTGGTGGAGGAACGGTAAAATCGACCGAACTAGCTTATAGTCGTTTTCTAAGCTCACCCTTTTGATCAGTAAAAGCACTCAACACTTGAATTGCTGCAGCCTTATGGATTTGATGTAGGCCAATCAGAAAGAGGATCAGTTCTCAAGGGATTGGATTTAGGTGTTCAAGGCATGAGGGTTGGAGGTCAGGTGAGATACAACTTCAGTATGAGAATTGATTAAACTTCACTCATTACAAAACCCTATTTCTTTTAAATTTTGGTTTTCACAGAGATTGCTTATAGTCCCTCCTGAGTTAGCTTATGGAAGCAAAGGCGTTCAGGAAATCCCTCCAAATGCAACAATCGAGGTAACGTTTCTTTACCTTCTAGCGATCTATTTGTTCATCAGTAGCACGGCTCGATAGAAAATTTAGTTCATTCTTGTTTCAATGGTGGAAGACATCATTATTAACAGAACTTTATCTTATAGAAAAGGGAAAATGAACAACAAGAACATTTTTTACCTTTTTGTTTACTGCTCAACTATATGGATTTACTGTTCTATTCATCTTTGGATCTGTAGTTGGATGTGGAATTGCTATCCATCAAACAAAGCCCATTTGGGTAAGTAGTGGTTCTTGATATTCTTCACTATTTTAGTGGATTTTCTTTTCTACCATGATTAGTTTTACTCCTTTTCCTGAGTGTAGGACTCCAGTAAAAATAGTTGAAGGTTAATAAAAAGAACTATTCTGGCCTGAATCAGCTCTATATCTCAGTGATTTGGATTAGCAAAGATTGAAAGTACAAAAACTGGTGCAGAAGGGAAAAGTTTCCTGTTCTTAGTCCTTTTTTTTTTTCAGAAAGATATGCCCATTGCCATATTGTTTAATGTTTAAATTCATTCTCCTGTCTTATGAATATCACTTGTACTTTATGGAAAGCAACTGAGCTGGTAGTGCAGGTTCCATTATAGTAGGGATTGCCTTGTTTAATATTATGAACTGTCTGGTGTTCTTCATTGTTATGATTTGTTGCGGAGTGTTATTAAAAAAATGAAGAAGATATGAATGTTTTCAAGGGATTGGAAGCCATATCTGGAAGAAGCTTGCCATATGGGGGCAATGCATCTAGAAAAACCTCCTTTATTGTGACCATTCAAGAGGAATCCACTTCTATATAAAGCCAAAACATCTTACACAGATTCTTTCTTCTACCTTTTCCATGTTCATGTCGTCCTACTTTATTCTCTAGCGCTGTCCTCTACTTACGCCGCCCTCGACCCAATTGTTCCATAAATCAGCTCTTCCTCATTGGTTCTTTGAGACATGGTAACTATGAAGATCCCAACACCATGCTTGTTTGGAAGCTACCTTTTTTTTCTTCTGTTTTTTAGTCTCTGCTGCTATTCGCAGAAAACGTGCCCGAGCTGCGGCTCCATTGATGTTCCTTATCCTCTTAGTACCAATTCAAACTGTGGTGACTTAGACTATACTCTCCGCTGTGATTCTCATTCACAGAGACTCTACTTTGATGCACTTAATGGAAGTTCATATCCTGTCCTGAAAATCAATGGTTCGAGTCAACGTTTGGTGATCCAACCATCTCCATGGGTTCCTGACTCCTGTGTTACTCAAGACATGTTGGTCAGTGAAGGCCTGTGGTTAAACCAATCACTCCCTTTTAACATCACTTCATCCAATACAATTTTCCTCTTGAACTGTTCTCCTCGACTGCTCGTCTCACCACTCAATTGTACTCCATCTAGTATCTGTCATCACTACTTGGAACGTTCTGGACGTGTTGATGGAAAACGAGCATTTCAGTGTGCTAGTGTTCTTGACCCTTGTTGTACCTTCATCGCTGGTGGGATGCCCTCAGCGTATAAGATAAGACTTCATAACTCAGGCTGTAGAGCATTCAGGAGCATCCTTCATCTAGATGTAGAAAAGCCTGCAAATCAATGGGAGGAAGGTTTGGAAATTCAATGGGCTGCCCCACCTGAACCAATCTGTAGAACTCAATCTGATTGCACTGGAGCGTCGGATTGTCATCCTACTGGCAGCTCCAACAGCCGATCTCATTGCCTTTGTAGAACGAGCTACCATTGGGATCATATCCTCGGAACATGCCTGAGAACAAATAGGAAGAGCATGGTCGGACTGAGTACAAAGCTCTTGGTATGTCTTGTTTCATTTTTCGTTCTAGCTGCGATTATCGCTCTAATTACTGTCAGGAAGTCCAGAACATTCAGTAAGCAGGAAAAGCTGTGTAAAGAAAGAGAAGATATGTTGAATTTTAGAAATGGGGGCAGACCAGCCAGAATGTTTCATCTGAAAGAGATGATGAAAGCAACGAATAAGTTTTCAAAAGATAGGGTCCTAGGATACGGTGGCTTCGGAGAGGTTTACAAAGGTGAACTTCAAGACCGGACCATTGTCGCCGTGAAGTCAGCTAAAGTGGGCAATCTAAAGAGTACCGAGCAGATACTCAACGAAGTCGGAATACTGTCTCAAGTAAACCACAAGAATCTTGTGAAACTTATAGGGTGCTGTGTAGAAACAGAGCAACCATTAATGATATATGAATACATTTCCAATGGCACCCTCCATGACCATTTACATGGTAAGTTTCCCACTTTCTTGGACTGGAGAAAAAGGCTAAAAGTTGCTTCACAAACTGCTGAAGCATTAGCTTACCTTCATTCAGCTGCATACCCTCCCATCTATCATAGAGATGTCAAGTCAACAAATATACTCTTAGATGATAACTTCAATGCCAAAGTTGCTGATTTTGGGCTTTCAAGATTGGCTTTGCCAGGAATAAGCCATGTTTCGACTTGTGCTCAGGGTACGTTAGGTTACCTAGACCCGGAATACTATCAGAATTACCAGTTAACAGATAAAAGTGATGTGTATAGTTTCGGAGTTGTCCTGCTCGAGCTTTTAACCTCTCAGAAGGCCATAGATTTCACGAGAGATGAAGATAGTGTCAATCTAGCAGTCTATGTGATCCAACGAGTGCACAACGGTGCGTTCATCGACACTGTCGATAAACAGCTTCTGAGTGACGATCCATCGAGCAATACACTGATTAGTGTGAAGCACGTGTTGGAGCTCTCACTCACGTGTTTGAGGGAGAAGAAAGCAGAAAGGCCTTCCATGAAGGATGTAGTCCAAGAACTTGAGTACATAGCTCAAATATTGGAGAGTCCAGAAACAGTTGGTGAAGAAGAAGAAGGGCAATCTTACAAAGGGTTAGAAGTTTAAGAGTAGTAGATTTGGTGTTAAACTGTGGTGTAATGCTTGAATATTCATATTAGAAAAGAGGTGGGGAATGATTCGATGAAACACTGTGGAGAGAGAGATGGCAATAATGGATTCTGGGATGGTAGAAAATGAAAGAAAATACACAATTGGGATCAGATGCCTACTTTTTGGACAAAGTATTCAAAATGGAGAACAGAATGTGGATTTTGAAAGTCATTTTGATAAGGAATATATGATAGTGAAGATGGATAGCTAAAAACAAACTCATTCAACGAGTGGTCGACTATTCTTTCAATAGCATAATTTCTATCATTTTCAAAATTTATTTTTTTGGTTCAACGATAAAAGATTTGAATGTCTTACCTTACCTTACAGTTTAGAATATATGTAATAACCAGTTGTATTGTACTATAATTTATAGTACCATAAAATTGTAGTTGTGCCTCTAAAATTACTTCTCTCAATTTTTTCGCCAGTTTGATTATCCCGTAAAAGAATGAACCGTTCTTTTTTGGTTACGAAGATATAATGTATCAAATGGATTCTAAGAACCAGAAGATCATTTTAAGGTATCAAAGCAAATCACTAAGGAAGATACTCCATAATGCTTAGTTGGATGCAAAAGTTGTTTCCAAATAATGTTACTAAAAACCACTTGATTCTCATTCTTAAAAAAAGGAAAGGTAATGTTAAATATAGTAATGATAAAGAGGTGTTATTTCAAGGTGTTTGGAAAACCTACCATTTTAGAAAAAAAAAAAGGGAAACAATAAGCATCCAGATGTTTGGCTTGTTGTGGCTATAGAATAACCCACTTTTTTATGAATGGGATTAGTCCACACCAATATGATTCCTTCAAGTTATGATGGCTACAACATCAACTAAATAAAAGAAAGTGGGAATAAGAATTTAAAATGGGCAAATGAATGGTCTTTTCTAATCTTTCCAAAACCAAATAGTTCGATTTTCTAATATTCGTGACTGAACCAGCTTACATATCAACCCTATGCTCGTGTCACCAGGACTTGAACTCATTCTCTTTGAAGACTTTTTATAATTTACATGACCCTGATCGATCACTCGTCACTCAACCAAACCGCACACCCATAATGTCTAGCACTTGCTCAATTACCACCACATCAATATGTATGTATGCATATAAGGCTAAAACAGCAGGAATCAAACCTGACAGCTAGGAGGTAAAAGAATACTGGAAGCAATAGTTTCAAAATTTTCAGGATCTAACTATTTGTGTATTGCCATATTGGCATTTGGAAGTGATAAATGAATGACTCAAGGAAGGGAAGTTGGAATATCTATTATTGGTCATATCATTTAACTTACAAGGAAGACTTTGCGATGGATGATTTCAATCTAGTTGGTAAAGTTACAACCAAGACCTCGAAGGAGATAGTAACCGAGCAACATGCGCCAACACAAAGAACACATGCTATGACTAGCATTGTGTTACCTGCGATAACGATATCGCTTAAAGTTGAAGTATACGTGCAAAATACCACGCTCAAATGTGCACTTAAACCCCTTCTTATGAGAGTACTCCCATTCTTTGTTTACGATTCGAAATGCCTATAATGAGATAAAAGAAAATGACAGTTAAATATAGATATATGAAATAAACCAAATGGCAAAGAAATCAATTGCAGATCAAAAGAAGACTTACAATATCCTCATACGGCGGCCCCGCGTGGAACCTTATGATACATGTCTCGCTGCTGTTTCCATCCTTTTCAATGGTGTAAGTTGGAGCTTTTGTCTTGTCAACAAGGTCTGGATAGAAGATGTTAAACTTATATCCTTGGACAATCTTTGGAGGTGGATTGTCATGATCATAGTGAGTCTGGTTGTATTTGTTCCACTCGTATCCTGTGTGAACCCGATTGAAATATTTCGGTTTTCTTGGCCGATATTTGTCATGCCACCAATATACCTGCAAGTTTTCGAACACTAAGATCACCGTTGGAAATGTAGGAGCATAAACAATCCAGGGATGGAGCAGACAGATAATAATGACAGTGCACCTGTGAATCCAGGTTCACTTCAGCACCAGATCCAAAAACTGCATCGCCTTCCTCCATGACTCCCATTGCTTTTGAGGCTTTAAGCTCAAAATTATCCTCTGGTGGAGCAGGTTTTGTGGCCATTGCTTCTTGAATCCGTCTCTGCTGTTCTTCCAAGACAGCAATTCGTTTACGTTCCTGTAGAATTTACAAAGTCATAACCAATCTAACTTTTGACATTCATTACAATATATAGATAGTGAATTTAATATCTGTAGACATACCAGTATGGCCCTATCCTCCTCAGGATCAATCGCCTGTTCATCTTCATCACCATGAATAAGTTCCGGTGAAAATGATCCAGCTTCTTCATTCTCTTCTTCCTCAAGGAGATCAGGCGAATATGTTTCAGCTGCTGAAGTGTGGAAAAGATATATATATATATATATATATATTAGACTCTGGACATAAAATTCAGGATTGCAAGATAAAGACTCTGGAACATACCTTTAATATCAAGCTCTTCCTCTTCAGCTTTCACTTGTAAAGAGCGTTCAGTTTCCATCTCGATTTCCTGGTCCACCTTTTCTTCATCATCCTCGAAAGGTTGCTCAAGGCGTACAAGATGCTCATGCAGTTTTTTCGTATGAATCTCCTTCAAGCAAGCCTACCAAATGAAAAGCAATAGTGAGCCTAATTCATTAGCTTTAAAAGATGAGTAGAGGGCATACGAAAAGAACCTCTAACAATGAATACCTTGGCCTTGTATATATGAAGGCGCTTTATGACAGCCTCCCAGTACTCGACCACCTTTGCAGTTCCAGATCGCATCTGTGACTCAATCTGAGATTGTAACGCCTCCAATTCACCATAAGTCTTTCCTTCCAGAAGATTTCTGACATCTGTTTCAATGCTAGAATGCAGACCCCTTTCTTCTGCAAGCAACTCAGCAGGAGGCTCCTCACCACGAACTCTGGCTCTATCCAGAGCATCCTTTTTTCGAGCTTCAGCTAGTTCCCAATCACAAACTACGAGAAGTGCCTGTTAAATTGCACAAAGCAAGACCTTGCTTAGCTTAGGGGACAGATGCCACACCTTAGAATCTGAACAACCAGGAAAGTGAGGACTGAACCTCCCCAATACATGGTTCAATTACTAGCTCTCATGACAGCAGTATTAACTTATCAAAACTGCTCTAAGCATAACAAACAATCAACCTTAAATTACTTAACAGCAGCACATCAACAGATAGCCTAATTGGCATCAAGTTGGCGACTACAAAAAGTATAATTCATTGTAAAATTGTTAATTACAAGACCAAATGCCCTAGTCATGTAATTATTTTAAGAGAACGACTGGTCAAACTGAATCTATATCAATATCGCTGATCATATTGAGCAAAACAATATCAAAGGTTATATTATATATTGACAATACCAAAGTAAATGTTCAGAGTAAAATTTCAAATAACTAATCGAAGGACATGCAGAGAACAATCTCTCAATATGTAGGTGTTACTCTGTCAAAGGAAGGGTTAAGAACTAGTCGTCAACAGTCCATCAAGACGTGTAGTTCAACATAAAAGCTTTTCAAAATGTAATAGGAAAGTCGGCAAATGTTTTCACCTCCCAATACTCGATATGTGTAGGCGTCGCCCTGTCCAGATCAAGATGCATTTTGATGTCATCACGAAGATCTTCCATTTCTTTCACAGTCAAACCCTGGATCATACATGTAAGTACCAATAAGAGGAATCTATTTTGAACATATATCGTATGTGTCTGTAGTCGGTGAAAACAGTACTTAGAATCTAACCACTACAAATAAACCACAAAAAATGAAAATAGAGAACAAATCTGATCCATAAATATGAATACTTCAGTTACTTAAGGCCAACCATATGGGTTTCACATTAAAAAAAATGACAAGAAACCTGTGAAATATTTTGAAAGCAGAAGGGGAACCAACCCAGGGCAGGGGGAAGAGGAATCCCCCTCCCAAAAGAATTAAAATGAAAAGGAGAACGAGTAGCACACTTAATGACAAGAAATTTCCGTTTCTAAATAGCCTTTATTCGAAGTCAGAAGAGAACAATAGCCATTGAAAAAGAACAATGGAGGAAATAGAAAACAAAAAAACAACTGAAAAAAAAAAGAGAAAAATCTTTTGAGCATAACTCTTAAAGATATAAAAACTCTTTATCTCCTGCTCAAAAAACAAGAACGGGTTGCCTGTAAGATCATCACCTAAGAAGAACACAGTTAATTTATAAAAAATTGAATCTTGAATGACACACTGAACAGAAAACGCAAGTCATCTAAAACAACCATAAGCACTATAACCAGAGAGTTTCTTACCTTGAATACAGTGTATGGCTCATTGATTACTATATCAAAATCATCCGATCCATTCAGTTGCTTGGATAGAATATCAATAGGCTTCGAACGCCCATCACGAACTCTTATCTCTGATCTGATTTTGCTTTGATCAAAATGGAACTGAGGCCAAAAGTTTCACTCTTAGTAATTGTCCAAGGGATCATTAAAAATAGTCACAAGAAAATAATGGAAAACTCCATGCAATATGAAACATAAAAGAATACATGGAATGAAATTACAAGTGAGCATACTACCTCTTCTTCCTTTTTCTCCCAATCCTGAAATTCAGCACGAGCACGTTCTCTAGCTAGCAATGCCTAAACCAGCAAAAGAAAGTTAAGGCATGCAAGAAAACATACCATACTGCAGATGTTATGAACTGACAATAACTACCCAACTAAAAATTAAAATAAAGCATCTTTCAATGCCATGTTCTGATTACCATTTCTTCCTCATGTTGTGCTTTTTCAAGAGCCCTTTCCTCCCTCCTTTTCTTCACCTTTTCAATCTCTGCCTGCATGGTAAATACAAATATGCAATGTACAAGTAATGCACAATTGCACACATCAATTCATAGACTTCAGCATTTTTGTATCAGATCAAAGGAGTTCACATTTTTTAAACGTAAGGTACAAAATGTGGGAGAATTGACTTCTGGATTTATCTTCAAGCCAACAGCCAATTGAATTGTTATTAGGGGACAAATTTATGACATTAGTTAACCTTAAATTAGACACTGCCAAGTAATAGATTAAGTGGATAACCCAGTAGGCTGCAAACATGAGAATCTAAGTACAATCACAACTTCCAATGAATAGTGGGACAAGTAGTGGTACGTGATAAATCATCAGAGGTATCTCTCTCATGGACAAACAAATAAGATGACATTAAGTAATTACGTAATTTATTGCTCTACTTAAACTAAGATACAATATGGTTACAACCCCAAAAGTCTTTTATCAAAAAAAAAAAACAAGCAACAGTCAGAAACCTTTTTCTAAAGTTTTCTCTTAACGTAATTTTGTTGGGTTTTTGTTTTTTGGCTCCCTTCTACAGCAGACTTTCTTTTTGTCTTGCCTACTTTTGTTCTTACATTTATGAAAGTTTAGTTTCTCAACAAAGAAAAAAAAAAATGAATAACATTTGGACTAGAAGCACATACCATTCTTTCTCTCTGTCTTTTTTTCTCGGACTTCATTGAAAAGGCATCAAGCGACACACCTTGTGTAACATCACGCTCAATTTTCTTTCGCCATACAAATCTGCGTACCAGATTGTTGTCAACTCAGAAACAAAATCAACTACTAAATTGTTGTAATTGGCCTTAAACTTCTCTATGCTATCAAATCATATATCGACCAACAATAACGAGAAGTAATAAATTCACTAGACAATATATTGAATCTTAACAACATAAGCCTCTTACAAAACCCGATATTTATAGCTAAAACTATATGAAAATAGGTGAGACACTAAAAGAAAGCCCTAAACACAAATGCTTCTTCTTCGAAGTATGTAGTTATTTACATTAAGAGGGGCGCTGGAGTTAAATTTACTGGAATGAACAAATTTGGTCAAGCATTTTTTGTCAGAATCCATCTATCTAACAGTTTTCCAAGTATTCCCCATTACTCCAGAGAATATAATACACACATTTGAAAACGAATTATAATCAGACTGCAAATGCCTATAGCCGCGACCGTGCTATGTAAAACAGTACAATCCGAGCAATGAGTTTTGTCAATTTTAGCAAACGCAAAAAGAAAAACCACTCACTTTTCATTGAGATTGGAATCGCCAAATGGATTCGAATCGTTGGAATAACCAGAAACCGTCTGGGACTTCAATTTCTTGGCAACTCGCAAGGCCTATACAACAGAACAGAGAATAATAGATGATAAGAAATATATTACGAAAACACCATAAAATTAGTATGGAAACAATCATAAAAATTAACCAAATTACACAAAAGAAACAAAACTTGAACCACATTGGGACCTTTTTCTGCGCTTTCTTGGCCAAGTATTCGCTAATTTCCTCTTCAGTAACTTTCCTGGAAGACTTACTCTTCTTGCGACCACCATCATCGCTGCCATAACTATCATTCGAACTATCGTCTCCAGAATCCCGCCCACGAGAGGAGCTCCTTCGTCTACTCCGGTGACTGCTCCTGCTACCACCACATCTTTCCATGCGCTTCCGGGAGCTCGCCACTGGAGATGAATCCCGGCTATCTGAGTCGTCGGAATCGGATTCAGAGTCGTCAGACCTTCTTCTGCTACGTCTCCTCGAAGATGACGTCTTCTCTCTCTTTCTCTCACTGCTTCGGCCATGAGTACCCATACTTGGAAGAGAAATTCAAATGCGTCACAACGCCGGTCAGTGACAGAGGAAGCTGCTATGGTTGATCAAGGTCCCCGGAGAAGCGAATAAGAGGGTCCGACCAAGAGAGAATTTGATCGGAGATTTGGGGTTGCCAGTTAGGGTACCATTAAAATCTGCCAACCCGATTTTTTCTAAGACGACCCGATTTTTCTCTCTCTTAAATTTTAAATAGTTCTAATAAAATTATAATTTAGCCTCTCTAATTTATAAAAATTTAAAACTATTTTATTAAAATATATAAACTATCAGTAAAATGCTATTAAGTCGTGAGAATAAAATTAAATAATTTTATCCTTTTTTTTTCTTAAATTACAATAATAAAATTTGCAATTCAACCTAAAATAAAATAAAATCTATTTTCAACACTTTTTTTTAGAATACTAACATTACAATAATTAATAATAAATTATTCACCTAAATAAATAAATAAATAAATATATATATATATATATAATATATTTATATTATTTTAACCTCCACAATTCAGACTTTGATTCTTATCTTTTGATGAATATACATATCTTTACGATTATTTTTTTTTTTTCGTTCTTTGCAAAATTGAATGTAATAGCAATGACACAAAGGACCCTCGTTTAATAGATTCTTGACATATTAGACTTATCTCGGATTACTATTAGGTTCTATTCAAACAAAATTTAATTTAAAATTTAAAATTTATTAATCTCTTTAGAAATAATAAATAAATATTAAAAAATAAAAAAATAAAATAAAATAAAAAAGCACTAAGATCAGCAGAAATACATTTTTTGAAAAAAAAAAAAAAAAGTATGAATATTATATTATAGATTATATATATAAAGCAATCTAATTGTTCAAATGCTCAGGCTAAAAATACAATAATAACCTCTGCTATCACTCATCAAGAACAATCACCATGAACCTCTCTACAACTCGCTAGCACATAATTTACAATTCTAGCATGCTCAAAATATGGGCCTTTACAAATGGAGGCCCAAATCCAAACCCAAAGAAGACAGGCCCAATTTAAGTAGTGGGACAGAATATCTTCAAGATGGAGGCCCAACTTCAAGCCCAAAGAAGACAGGCCCAATTTAAGTAGTGGAACAGAATATCTTCAGGTTAGACTTTCTGACCCATTGCATCTCACATGGTCCAAAAATAATAGCACAACATAGCCACTACCAATCATTATACATATAGACTGGAGGGGCAGACAATTGGTGCAAAGAATGGGGTCTAGAGAAGAGTGAGATCTACACAGCTGAAAGTTACAGAAACTGGAAGTGGATGAACAAAATGAAACTCAGAAAAAGAGCTAATGCTTCTATAGCTAGTGATTGAAGGAGCTTATCTTGGGTTGAGCCGCTCACGCTCAGCTGTCCTGCGTTGACGAACTCGTTCTTCTCGGACGTGACCGATACATTTACAGCTTGAGAACCTGGAAACGGAGTTTGTTTTCATGAAACTTGAATTGAAGTTGTTTGATCGGGTTGTATAGATTTATACACAGCCTTGAATTTTAACTTACAATCATAGTTTGCCCACCCGATTTGCTGGCGTGCCAAATCATATACGAATATCTTATCTTTCATAACAAGATCTGCAAGAGGAAGGCATTAAGATGAGGTTCAAAGACTGAAAATCAATACCAAGCTCACCGTAAGCAAGGGATGGTAATAACTAGAACTTCGATACACAAATTCATTCACCCAAAGACTGAAGACGGAACTAATCTCATTCTTTTTTATTCATTACTGCAAAGTGCCACCCGAAGCACAAAGTGAAGCTCCTCCGTAATGTCTATCTATATATGTGAGTGGCTCTTTTTTGGAGACTTAGTCCAATGGCTACATTGCGGGTTCGAGCACCGTCAGTCCGGACGGATCAAATCCAATAAAAAAAATATATAGATAAATTAATCACTCCATTTTCTGTGCAAAAGGAGTACAAATAGCATAATTTCCTTCTAAATCGGATCCTATTATTATCTATTTTCGTTTCACATTTCTCATTAACAAATATGGGAATTTTCATTTCTTCCACTAGTACCGGTATGATTCGTGGAGTCTCTAATGAAGTGTTGAATCCTACGTATAATAGCAGATACAAATTGATTTTGCCAACAAGAAGTTGGAGCATTTCATTACCCAAAAGTTCTAGCAGATGCCCACATCAAAAAAGAAGTCCAAGTTCAGGGACTAACCTCCTAAAATTGTTGCTCCTTCCTGAACTTTCTGAAAACCAATACACCATAATGCAGCACCATCCTGCAAGGATAGAGCAATATCGAACATCGCAACATGGTCGATGATATACAACCAAAGGAATGAATCTCACACAACTTACATAAAAGCCAAGATGCATAAGGTATTCTTCGGGTCTTAACACCATAGATGCACCGGCCGCAAAATTTAAGCTAACCATGGGAAATATCTCGTCTACACTGGACATGGAAGAGAATTTTGACCCACTCACTTCTTGAAGTAAGATCAGCATTTTTCTTCTCAAAGATCAATACAGTTAAAAATGGCGACAGACCTGGTGGATACTAGATAACACTGGCTGCCCTTTGAAATAGTAGGAGTCACAGATTGGGAAACAGCAGCAGTTATCTTAACAAGTCAAATGCAAAACACATGTTGAGTAGTTGCATACATACATCAATAAGAGTTTAGGTTGGTTGGTTTACATTAGGCCCTTGTCAGTAAAACATTGATTCTGACATGGGGAAAGGAAACTTACCGCGCTGACAAATGGCGTATAAGCTTCTTCCACAAGATAAGCCAATGTTGTCCCAGAGTCTATAATAGTTCCTCGATTATTTGATGTTGCGAACACAGATGGATCAATTGGCAGCGCCTGACCATTGACAGCAATGCTTTGCAGATACAAGTTATAGTGAGGCCTGATATTTTAAATGGGGAAACAGTCAAGCTTTCATACAGTAGTACATTTGTCTATCAACATACACAAGCACAGATGTGAAATAAAAATCTGAAACGTTAGAACCAGTCAGAAAATGTCAGCCAGTAAGAAAATGCTTAAATTGATTGAATGTTTAAGCATAGTTGCTTCTAGATTCCCAGATCGTCTCTCAACCATAGGAAGGTTGGAAGGGAGGTGTATGTGAAACAAAACGACACCAGAGTACAATCATTTGTGACAAAATAAAATTTATAAGTAGCTAATGCAGTCCGGAACTTAATATCAACAAATAATTATGCAAGAAGCACATTCAGATTGGCAGTTCTCTGAAAGAAAAAAGGATTCAGTAACTTCCAACGTTTGAAATAAGTTGCAACTTTTTACTTGATTGTTTTCAGCGGTAAACTCTTGATTTAGAAAAATAATGATGAAGGTTGACATACTGAGAGGGCACGAGTGGGCTATACACAATGCCGGGCTCCAGAACCTCTCCAAGAACCAATATACCACCTCCATTTCCTTCTCCTTTTAAACAATGGGAAAATACTTTCGGGGTTATCCCTCGAGCTGATAACTGTGATATGACAGACAAATCCCCGGGGCCAAATCCAAAAATGCCATCTATTGCATGGTCTGATTTAGTCAAGTCACCTGACTGATATGTGCTGCAACTGCATTTAAAGATCATAGGATACATTTAGCTTTTCCCAAAAAAATGTAAGAGTAGAACGCATACAGATTGAGGTAGAAGGAAATATACTCAGACCATAGAAGTAGAAATACCACATTAACCTCATATTCTTCCTCATGTACATGACGTAGAAAACAACCGTCAGAATTTAAAACGTAACAGCCCAAGCCCACCGCTAACAGATATTGTCTTCTTTGGGCTTTCCCTTTCGAACTTCCGCTTAAGGTTTTTAAAACGCGACTGCTAGGAAGAGGTTTCCACACCCTTATAAAGAATGTTTCATTCTCCTCCCCAATCGATGTGGGATCTCACAATACCTACTAGCGGTGGACTTGGGCTTTTACACAAAATTAGCTTGTCTGTGAGGTAAAAATGATAGTTCTAAGAAAATACCAGTTGAAAGTCCATCCAAATAGAAACCCGATAGAGTCCATTCGAATTTACGGTGTGTAAAGCAATTCAAAAAGTACCCGATAGAGTCCATTCGAATTTACGGTGTGTTAAGCAATTCAAAAAGTAACCTTCAATCTCATATGTAAAAAATTGCTCCCACCCAACTCACCCAAAAACAACTGTAGCTGAAGAGTTAGCAATCATAGTAGGCCCCATAACCATGTCAAAGTACATGGACTCAGATACATAATAACCCGATGTTCCACTTCCATCACCATACTGAAAGGTGTAACTACATTGATTAGTCTGAGATAAACACTGAGTCGCAGTTGTTTGGAATGCAGAATTGCATATTGGATCAGAGCAGGAAACCAGTGAAGAACTTGATGAGTTGGAAGCATCAAAGAAATTTAGTTGAATCTGCACAGGGAAAACTAAAATAAGAACTTCAACAAGGGGACCATTGCAGAAACTAACAAAAGAGGAGGTAAAAGAAAAAGACTCATACTCCAAGTCCACTTGCTCTGGGGCAACCATTGCAGGAATTACAGTTCACCCACAATATATCGCTTCCAGTGTCGATCTGCACCGTAAATTCCTTTGGGGGAGTGCCCAATTTAACTTTGGTAAAGTAAAGCCTGAACCAGCCATTAACAACGAGATTACAAAACAAAAAAGAAACAACCATAGAATTCTGAGAGGTAAGAATGTAAGAAGACCGCCAAAAAAACAAACGGCTATATTTGCTTTAACTCATGGCGTGTGTGAAGTAGCATATCCGCAAGAAATATTTAAATCAAAAGAAGAACAAGAAGAACCAAATAAAGAATGAAAGTAGCATTTAATATTATTATTTAGCTGTTAGACAAACAGAAGAAAAGAAAAAGGAAAATATAAAGCATTTTTCTAGATTTCAGTCAATAAGATCAATTCGACCATCATTCTTTCGCTTTCTTTAGTCTATTTCCCATACCCCTCTCTCTTTCTCTCTCTCTCATGAACAGCCTACCAGCCGCTTAACAGAGCATCAGAGGAACGAACATGTCACGAACACAGAAAGCGATTCCAACCCATCAAACCACAATAATCCTAGTCTAGAGAATTAACGAACACACCAAACTGCTAAAAACAACAAAAATTAAAGAAAATTCAGTCGAGGAGCAGGAGTTACCCGACGAGCAACGGATCGGAAGAACCTTCGACTGAGAAGTCGACGACGCCACTGACGACATCTTGCAAGATTCTGGCATGCCTGAGACGGTCCCGAGCTCGGAGAGTTTCAAGTTCGATAGAGTGAGATGAAGGGAAGGCTCTCTGCAGAGAGAGACGTTGGAGGGGGAAGCCGGAGTAGACCACCGTCGCCGACAAAACGACGGATACTAAAGCGAAGATCAAGGAAGTGAGGGCCCGCATTCCAATGGAATTTTGTGGATTTTGAGTTCTCAGATGGGAGGACTTATGAGCAAAGATCGAGTTATGGATTTGTTCCTGCACATTGCAGTGAAAGAGAAATAGAGAGAGAGCAGCAACAACAACAACAACAGTAAGGAAGAAAACTTTTGGATTTGAATTAACTAAGAAGTTCGGTTCATTAAAGCTTAATTCTCAAAACCGCCATGGATCTGCTCGAGCTTTATTTACTTACAGACCCCACCGGCACTCGAAAATGCGTGTGAAAAGACGAAATTAGCCCTTTCGCTTTAATCCATCTCATTTTAGAGCGAAAAATACTTTTTCTTAAATCTCCGGTCAAAAAGTAAACAAAATCTCATTTTATTTGTTGAATTTTTTTTGTACTTTTCTTACATTTTAAAATAATTGAATTTCAACTTCAAATTCAACTTTTTTATTTATTTATTCTATTTTTTCTATATTATTATATCAACTTTTTAAATTTTAATATTTTAATATATTTTTTTTATCACATAACAAATATAAAATATAGTCATTAGGGTTTACCAAATGACTATCCTCGGTTGTGTTTAAATTATTCTAATATATGGATTTAAAAAATATTGATTGTCATTTGGTAAAATTAAAAGCAAAATCACACGCCCCTAACTATTATTAGGAAGAGAATATCATTCATTTAGTCGTGTCGAGTAAGATCATCATGTGTCGAATAAAAGTTGTAAATTTTGAAGACTTAATCGTCGTGAAAATTTTACCGAACTAATAATTAATAATGATTTGAAAATATATTCAAATTAGAATTTTAAAACAAATTATTAAGACATAATGCAAATATACATGGACAAGGGGTTAGTGGTAAAATTACATTAAAGAAAACAATATATATGAAATTCAACCATAATTTTCAACCGTAATTCAGTTAGTAATTTGTGGGCCGGGCTTCAGAAAGTTGGGCCGGATCCGGCGGCCGATGACCGATTTCGCTCAGAGAAGTGCAGTATTTAAAGGCAGCTAGCGGCAACCGAAAATGACTTGTAACCACCGATGGTAAGTTCCGCAGCTCCAGACTCTGCCACCGGCGCCGCGTCGTCGTTGCCGCCCCCACTGTCACTGCCGGCTCGAGTCCGGCGTCACCGGTAGTTACACCGGGGCCCTTACGTGCTTGGGGCGATGAAGAAGATGACGACGTGGAATGTATTAAATATTTTTTTAGTTGAGAGAAAATTGAGAGTAGCATGAAATAACATTATATTTGTAATGACGTGTTCTTTGAAAATACGTGGCATGGTATTAAGAGGCGACGTGGAAAAACTTCAACCGCAGTTGTGGCCACGTAGCTGGCCAATCTCTGACAAATTCCATTTGGGGAAAGCTTTCCGACCCTCCCTTGCTCGATTCTCCGTCATGGCGACCCGCCTTCCGAGGACGAAGCTATTCTGGTCCCCAACATCCAGATCATCGGCCGACGATTACTCGCAGATGGCCGTTCTCATCAGATCTAGGCGAAGGTGGGCGTCATCGTCGTCGTCGTCGTCGTCTTCTTCGTCTTCTCCGCCTAGCAAGTCACAGAAAACGGAGAAGAAATTCGTGGACCGTCTTTCATCGGTGATAGACGCCGTCAATGACCGGAAACTTCCTCCGGAGCTTCGAGGTCAGCGTAACTCTGTCAGGTCCTCCTCGCTTTACTCCATTTCACTTACCTGCATATCTGGTTTGAGCTCTCAGATTAATTCCTCCTTAATCGGTTTTCCTGATGTGATCTTAATGCTTAGTTTTCGTTGAGAATTAGCTAATTTCTGAAACAGAGTTTCTATTCTATTACAAATTGCTCGTGTTTTTATTACTTCTGCATTCCTCATTCTATGTGAAGATTATTATAGCAAGAGGATAAACGCTTTTTTCTGGAGATTTTGATCCCTTTCATGTAATTCACTGTCACACACTGCCATTCGAATGTTTGAAACTTTATAGGTATCAAATTGTCTACCAAAATTCAGCAAGTAATTAGCAATGCTTCCATCTCTGTCAAAAAGAAAAGAGGAAAAAAAAAACCTTAGATGTCCATTTTGCAATTAGTATAGCCACGAATTACAGACCTAATCCTATTATGCTTTGGCCTATATGCCATCATTTCTGTGTAAATCTATGGTTCTTCTTTACCTTCTTTAACATTTTATTTAAATTATTGTCATCTTCAACTAGACGAACTTTTTGTTTAATTTTGGTTATGTTCATCCTCACTGAGATAAGCCTTTTACTTTTCACTTTATTATAGATCTCTGCTTTTCACCTACTGTTTTTTTGACTTAGCTAGAATATTTTGGATAGGTCAGAAACTGATCTGATGAATCTTGTTGAGAGGAGGATTTGGAATTCCATGGAAGAAGGGCAATTCGAGAACTTACCAGGAAAAGGGAAACCTCTCAATCTCTCTACTAATCCCCATGCTGATCCAGCAGAAGACACACTGTACCGAATCTTGTCGAAAAATGGATGTGCACCAGAATGGGTTGAGCTCAACAAAGAGATTAGGAGCAATATATCTGTGTGGCGATCATCGTTGAAGGAAGCATTTGAAAGTAGAGGCAATGAAGATCTTTCAAAATGGACTGAGAGTTCAGAGGCTTTGAAAGTGCAATTGCAACACATCAATGACAAGGTCAGTTATCAGTTTTCTGATTCTTAATAATGGAAAGTTGGGTTCTAAATTCTAATTCAGTATCAGGTTCTTCGTTTCTCCCCGGAAGTTGGTCAATTCAACAATTCCTTAAACCTCCCAACTTCAACTGGGCGGCTGGGAAGCAACTAGCAAGTTAATGGTTGCTTGTTGGGATTGAAGGTGGTTCTAGTGTGGGGAAGTGTCTTTTTCATATAAATGCATATAAAAGATCATGGCTTATGCTTCTAAACATCTAACCTCTTAGTTGAAGATATATATCCTAACCACAAGTGGGGTCGGGAGATTAAACATCTAACCTCCTCTTAGTTGACTATATCATGTCATAACCAGTTAATCTAACCGTTTAGTTAATTTGTGCTCTAACTGATCTTAACATTCTATTCCACGACCATTCTGCAAAGGTGTAGTAAACATAGTTTCAGTTTCCATTTGCAGGTTTTTCGGTATAACTTAATAGTTCCTTTTGGCCGCCAGATGTCTGGATTGAAATGGGAGAAAGAACTGGATCGTCTTGTAGAATGAGACAACCTGTTTCTCCTCTTTGCAATTCCACCGCCCCAGTTTTGCTTTCCAGGTCAGAACCATTGAACCAGCATTCATGTCTCTACAGACAGAAAAACTGTTCTAGCCGTCACATAAAAGAGGAAAGAAAGCTCTTTTGGCATATAAAAATGACTGTCAGTCGTCTTGTATCAAATCCGTATATCTGCAGTGCTTATCTAGCTTATACTGTTTAAAAATGTTTACATAGAATTGTGGGTTTTGAGTCATACCCATTTTTCACTTTATGATTTTTAATTAGGTTACATTCACAATATAAAAGAAATAGTAAAATGTACTGTTCTAACTTTTGATAAGGATTCTTATGAATACCTATCATTAATACAACATTTTACAGTTTAATTAGCATAATATATGATGGATGAAACTATATAATAATGTAAAAATATAAGGACCAAAATAGAAAAATCATAAAAATATATGAACCAAGGTAGAATAGAGTTTAATTTATAAAGTGCAAGTGAAGTATGAGGATATTAAAAGTAAAAAGTGAACGGATATCATTTTTTACAATGATTATTACAAAGAGAAAAAACGATCATCAAAATGAAAACAAAGAATCAAATTACTGTCATCAGTAAAACGAACAGACTTTCACAACTGGTAAAAACCCCATCTGGGATCCAAATGATTTCAACCTCTACTGGAAAAAGTGTTTGTAGTAGTTGCATAAGCAGTAAAAGAGTAAGAATTTACATGATCAGTGTCGCTATCAATGTTCTGCAGTTCAGCTCAGGTGGTGGTAGCAGAAAGTTGAATGAGAGCTCGCCGGAGGTAATCCATACGCAGCTTCTTGTATTTGTGAGTAAAAGAACCCAAATCTATCTCTCTGTCAAGGAGCTGTCTGTGCAGATTGTCCGACTCCTCTTCAGTCTCCTTCATTCTCTCTGCATAAACAAAGTTTGGATTCAAGACCAGATTAAGTAATGGAGAATTGTGTGGTGTGTGAAAATGCAGAAAAGGAGAAATAAATTTTTACTTCTTTTCTAATTATACAAAGAACTTCCTTTCAGTTATCAGTTTCAGAAGTAGACTTGTTTGGTAACATTTTCTTTGTAAAAACGGTGTCGAAAACAATTTTAACCGAACACAATTTTCAATCCTAAGCTTCGAAGATTCATTCTCAAAAACAAGTTCCAAATTCATGACCTCTTCTTACTATCTATGAAATTATGAACGTCTTACTAGCCTCTAGTTGGAACGTTACAAGGGATCCTTTAAACTACTCTACTCATTAACAGACATGGGAATGATTCTTGTAGGCCCCGTCTCCTTGGAAGGATATGTATGCCCAGCCTCCCTAGCCTTGAATTCAAGCCTAGACGGTAATTATCAATGATAACAAAATCATAAATCCAATAAACAACTACTACAATATACCTTGAAGCCTTCGGATAAGTGAAGCAGGAGAACAGTGGTTCAAGATCTCCTTTTTCTTTCGGTCAAGCTCGTTCAGCTTCTCCTCGGCAGCAGCCAGTTCAGTTGTCCGGATTATTCTGCACTGTGGGAGAATGAACAGGAGGGCGAGTGAATTCAACAAGCAAGAGAAATAACTAATTTTCTGATAAACCCATACCTGGTTTCTAAGTTCCATGATGCGTGGTTCCTTTTCCATGTTCTCACCTTTTCAAGTTAAAATGATGGTTGAGATTTGTCCCATAGAGAAATGCTTAGAAGGAAAGGCAAGCAGAAAAGTCTTTAAAAAAATCTATGTTACTTACTTGCAAGCTGAAGAGTTTCCTCGCGCAGCTCATCTCTTAGCTGGTGAAAATTATTAAAAATTGAAAGCAGCAAAGATCCAATTAGCAAACATTTTAATTTACAAAGAAGAAGCATATAAGAGAAGCCATGATATTGGGTAGAAGCTACAATAATATGGACCAACAACAAAAACCACATGACAAACATAGGAAATCATGAGGAAACA